CAGACACCCGGCTGACTTAAAAAAAATGTGCCTGAGTGGCTGGGTGACTTTGCTCCTTTTTTCAGCAGTACTGCCCTGAGACAACCACCAGGGGGCACAACATACTCCCCCCCACCTCATGATGATGTCCATGGCCTTCAATCACCATCTCCCACACACGCGAAGCAAGTCCCCGATATTGGTCAATAGCACAGTATTCCTCCAGCGCTCTGAGACGCTACCCTAACGTGGAGGGCGTTAAATAAGTGCAAGTTGTTGTTGTTGTTGCCATGCGCGGAATACACGTCAGCTACACAACCCACTCAGCCAAGTCTTACTGTCGTATGGAAATCATAGTTTACTTGACAAGACTATAATTATCGAGCAGTTAGAAAAGACCCCGTCTGATTACACAGCGGCCTATTTCGTGATCTCAATTGAGAAGAGAGGCTGGCAGCCAGATCAAGTCCGCTCAGATACATCAAACAGAATTGCGACTGTTTTTTATTATAAGACCTGCACGGAGAGAAATACACTGATGCGAAGCTCCCATTGGTCTTTCATTGTAAAATCTTGACAGCTGTGGCTTTCCTCCGCCACAGAACCTATCCCTTAACTTAATACTTTGGCTTGAGTCTTGTCATCCAATATGGTTCATGGACGCTTTGGTTTGCTTGAAACAAAGAGACTCTTAAGGTCCATTCACTTGGGCTATTTAAAGCCATAATCCAATCACTCCATCTGTGCATCTAGGGCAAATGTTAGGGTAAGTGTGTGTGTGTGTGTGTTTGATGGGGAGGGGGTTATCTCTGTCACCAAAAACTCCCCTCCCCCACCCGCAGATCTCAAGGGAACAAACTTACATTTCCTTCAGGAAGTGACTATTTACAAATTACTGTTAATTAAATTGCGCAAACAGTAAGTAGGCTTTCTTCCAGTGACATCTGTGTGTGTGCGTGTGTGTGTGTGGAGGGGGGATTTGGCAAGAGTTTTCTTGCTTGATGTGTCCAGATGGGCGATTGTTCCAGAATATTTTGTAATCTGGTAAAATATGTTTCCATTTTTTGTCTTCACAGTTAGCAGACAAGCCGGTGACTTGACTGACGCTGATTGAGGCTGGCAGCCTTTAGTGAGTCTCACCCACGGTTTGACTCTTTACATCTCAATAATTAAAGGGACCTCAAGGTCGGGGCATTTTCTTCTTGAAGTTCGGAGATGGTTTAAGAGGTTCTTTCGAATTAAATGTGGGGAGAGGGTTTTAAAGATTTTAGAGATTGTGCCATTTTACGAGGCCAAAATGCACTCGAAACCTTAAGGCAAGTTTCCTTACTCCACGCTCCTCTGTTTGCCTAGCAGTAAGAAGGAACTCGGTTGTTAGTCGATTGGCGGATTGCTTTCCGGGGGTAATAATCCTTCCCCCCACTACCACCCCCAAAAAAAAACATATCTGCTTGATCCACGGCTGTTTGTGGGACACTGCTGTGCACCATTGGCTGCCGCATTTTGCCAACACAAAATATAGTAAATTCACTTTACAGTATATTCTGTGAAGTCTGTTGAGATGCCCTCTGATGTCATTAGGCGCTACACCAAATGCAAGGATTATTGGTGGTGTCCTGTAGCTCAGTGGTTATAGCGCTTGCCTCGCAAGCGAGAGACCAGGGCAAAACCTTGGGCAAGTTTCCTTACTCCACACGCCCTCAAGAAAAAAAACAATAACAATTTGGTCACTCAATCCACGACTGTTTGTGGGATACTGCTGTGCGCAATTGGCTGCCGGATGCGTTTCACCCACAAAATATGCAGTCACTACACTTTACGGTATATTCTGCAAAGCGCTTTGAGGCGTCTGTAAGACGTGATAAGGCGCTATATCAAATGCAAGGATTATTTTATTATTATTATTATATTAACGCACAAAACATTGTAGGCAAATGGGGCTTTGAAATTCAAATTTCAGAGTCCGGATAAAAGTGGTGGATTTTCTTTTATCTTTGTGGATTAGATTGACAAACTCGTGTGTGTGTGCGTGTGTGTGTGCGTGTGCGTGGGGGTGGGGGTGGGAGAGAGAGGAGGTTGTGTATCCATTGGAGATGGGTTTATTTGTGAAATTTTGCAAGCGTGATTCTGTTATTACAAGCACCGATAGCAAAATCACGTCCCAAAATTCTTCTTCAATCTGTTTCCACTTTGAGGCCCAGCAGATGGGGAGCTACTTATAATAATCTCCCCCCGCCCCCCCCCCCCCCACCGACCGAACTCCTCGCCCTCCATACACGCACGCACGCACGCTTACACTGTTAACGTATAATCACTCGAAAGGCATCAGAACGACAATTAGAATAATAAACAAAACAACAACCTGTCAGAACACAAAGAGAGTTGTCCAAAACTCCTTTGAAATAAAAAAAATATTCTCGATTTTATTTGCTGGGGGGGGGTGGGGGTGGGGGTGGGGGGTGGGGGGCGGGGGCGGGCGAACAGGACTTCTGCGGGTCTCTGTAACAGTAATAATAATATTAACCATCCCTGCATTTGACATGGCGCCCCATCGCGTCTTCGAGAGACGTCTACCGAGCGCTCTGAGACGCCGTCCGGCGTGGAGGGCGCTACATAAATCCAAGTTGTTGTTGTTGTTGTCGTCGTATCAAAGCGCTTCTCGCGATGCACTCTGAAGCGAATTGATGGTATGTTTCGGGGGCGAAACGTGGTAGCCGGTTGCGCGCAGCGGCGTCCCCACAAAGTCGGGAGGAGGAGGAAGAAGATGAGGAAGAAGAAGAATCCTTGCATTCGATACAGCGGCTTGTCGCGTCGTCGCGTCCCGAGGCGCGCGACGGGAACGCGGTGCGAGGTGGGAGTGACCGTGCATTTTGCGGGCGAAGATGTGTGTCTCGTGCGAAGACGCGGCGGGTGTCAAACGGGAGGAACTTGGGAACAGCGAGGAGGTGGAGGAGGAAAGTATGTAATGTGTGTGTGTATCTATGTGTGTGTGTATGTATGTATGTATGTGTGTGTATGTATGTGTGTGTGTGTGTGTGTATGTATGTGTGTGTATGTATGTATGTATGTATGTGACAAAATGCAGTAACACTAAAACGCACCATAAAATGACTCGGGAGACAGGTGGGTGGTGGGGGGTGTGGGTGGGGACAGGTGTAGGTGTGGGGGTGTGGGTGGGGACAGGTGTGGGGGGGGTGGGTGTGGGTGGGGACAGTTGTGGGTGTGTGGGTGGGGTGGGGTGTGGGGGTGTGGGTGGGTGGGGGTGTGGGTGGGGACAGGTGTAGGTGTGGGGGTGTGGGTGGGGACAGGTGTGGGTGGGGGGTGTCTGGGTGGATGTGGGGGGGACAGGTGTGGGTGTGGGTGGATGTGGGGGGTGACAGGTGTGGGGTGTGGGTGTGTGTGGGGCGTGACAGGTGTGGGTGGGTGTGGGAGATGACAGGTGTGGGGTGTGTGTGGGTGGGGACAGGTGTGGGTGTGGTGTGTGTGGGGGGGGACAGATGTGGGTGGGGTGTGGTGGGGGCTGTGGGGGTGGGGACAGGTGTGGGTGTGTAGGTGTGGACAGGTGTAGGTGTGGGGACAGGTGTGGGTGGGGGGGGTGTGGGTGTGGGGGGACAGGTGTGGGTGTGGGTGGGGGGGACAGGTGTGGGTGGGGTGGGGGTGTGGGTGTGGGTGTGGACAGGTGTGGGTGTGGGTGGGGGTGTGGGTGGGGACAGGTGTGGGTGTGGGTGGGGATGTGGGTGGGGCGTGGGTGTGTGGGGACAGGTGTGGGTGTGGGTGTGGGTGTGGGTATGGGTGGGTGGGGACAGGTATGGGTGGGTGGGTGGGGACAGGTGTGGGTGTGGGTGTGGGTGGGGGTGTGGGTGTGTGGGTGTGGGTGTGGGTGGGGGTGTGGGTGGGGGGTGTGGGTGTGGGGTGTGGGTGGGGGTGGGTGTGTGGGTGTGGGGGGTGTGGGTGGGGGTGGGGGTGTGGGTGGGTGGGGGGTGGGGTGAGTGTGGGTGGGTGTGGGTGGGGGGTGTGTGGGTGGGGTGTGGGTGGGGTGTGTGGGTGGGTGTGTGGGTGGGTGTGTGGGTGTGGGTGGGGGTGTGGGTGTGGGTGGGGGTATGGGCTGTGGGGTGGGTGTGGGTGGGGGTATGGGGTGTGGGTGTGGGTGGGGGGTGGGGGGGTGGTGGGTGTGGGTGGGTGTGGGTGGGGGGTGGGGGGGTATGGGTGTGGGTGGGTGGGGGTGGGTGTGGGTGGGGGTGGGGGTATGGGCTGTGGGTGGGTGTGGGTGGGGGTGTGTGGGTGGGGGTGGGGGTGGGTGGGGGTGTGGGTGGGGGTGGGTGGGGGTGTGGGTGATGTTCTGGCTGTGTTGGCAGTGGGAGCTCAGGGCTTCCTGTCACATGCCCTGAAAGTAATAGGATCTCTCTGTGTGGTGTATCTCTCTCTCTCTCTCTCTCTCCCTTTTTCTCTCTCTTTCCCATTCCCTCTCTCCCTCTCTCTCTCTCTCTTTCCTCGGGCTCTTGAATTGCTGTGATTAGAGATCAGGGAGAGGGAGAGGAGGTGTCTGTGAAGCTCTGAGCTGTCAGTCTGTGTCTGTCTGTCTGTCTGTCTGTCTGTGTCTCTCCACCACAATTTCCACCTGTGCGCCACCTTTTCACTCACTCATTCCCTCTCTCCCTCTCTCTATCACTCACTCTCACTCTCTCCCTCTCTCCCTCCCTCTATCTCTCCCTCTCCCTCTCTCTATCACTCACTCTCACTCTCCCTCTCTCCCTCCCTCTATCTCTCCCTCTCCCTCTCTCCTTCTCTTTATCACTCACTCATTCCCTCTCTCCCTCCCTCTCTCACTCCCTCTCTCCCTCCCTCTATCAGTCACTCACTCATTCCCTCTCTCCCTTCCTCTATCATTCCCTCTCTCCCTCTCTCTATCACTCCCTCTCTCCCTCCCTCTATCAGTCACTCACTCATTCCCTCTCTCCCTCCCTCTATCTCTCACTCTCTCCCTCTCTCTATCACTCCCTCTCTCCCTCTCTCCCTCCCTCTCTCCCTCCCTCTCCCCCTCTCCCCCCTCTCTCTCTCAGCAATGGAGTACCTGACAGTCGCGCTGCTGCTCCACACTGGATGCGGATTTGCGGTCAGTCTCGGAAGGGCAGAGTTTAATACGGGTGAGTGGGTCCGCGATTCCCGGAGTCGCTATTGCTTTGCGAGTCGTCGCAGCGCAGCGCAGCGCAGTGGGCAGTGGGCAGTGGGTAGAGAAGGGCAGTGGGCAGTGGGCAGTGGGTAGAGAAGGGCAGTGGGTAGAGAAGGGCAGTGGGCAGTGGGTAGAGAAGGGCAGTGGACAGTGGGCAGTGGGTAGAGAAGGGCAGTGGGCAGTGGGTAGAGAAGGGCAGTGGGCAGTGGGCAGTGGGTAGAGAAGGGCAGTGGGTAGAGAAGGGCAGTGGGCAGTGGGTAGAGAAGGGCAGTGGGTAGTGGGTAGAGAAGGGCAGTGGGTAGAGAAGGGCAGTGGACAGTGGGCAGTGGGTAGAGAAGGGCAGTGGGCAGTGGGTAGAGAAGGGCAGTGGACAGTGGGCAGTGGGTAGAGAAGGGCAGTGGACAGTGGGCAGTGGGTAGAGAAGGGCAGTGGGCAGTGGTAGAGAAGGGCAGTGGACAGTGGACAGTGGGTAGAGAAGGGCAGTGGGTAGAGAAGGGCAGTGGGCAGTGGGTAGAGAAGGGCAGTGGGTAGAGCAGGACAGTGGGCAGTGGGTAGAGAAGGGCAGTGGGCAGTGGGTAGAGAAGGGCAGTGGGTAGAGCAGGACAGTGGGCAGTGGGCAGTGGGTAGAGAAGGGCAGTGGGTAGAGCAGGACAGTGGGCAGTGGGTAGAGATGGGCAGTGGGTACAGAAGGGCAGCAAAAAAGAACACTGATCCTTTGGTTCGCCGATAGTTTGCAATGAGACCTTTTTGTCACATTCCGATCGGATATTTTTTTTCCATCAACTGAAATGATAGGAGTGTTTTGCACATTTGCTCATCTGAGGGAGAGGGAGAGAGGGGGAGAGAGAGAGGGGGAGAGAGAGAGGGGAGAGAGAGAGGGGGAGAGAGAGGGGGAGAGATGATCTTATGAGTTACCTCAGAGCCAGTGTGTACCTGTGTGTGTGTGTGTGTGTGTATATGAATGTGTCCTATCGACAAAGCTGTGTACAACATAACTCGGAACACATAGCTGTCATTTCCTCACAGGTATTTATTTCCAAGTACTTTCATTTTCCTCTCTATCTTTTTCTCTCACTCTGTCTATCTCTCTCTCTCTCTCTCTCTCTCTCTCCCTCTCTCTCTCTCTCTTGGGGCAAAACTGTGAATCGATTTATTTAGTGTATATTGTATACAGACGTGTGTGTGTGTGTATATGCGCATTGCATTGGATAAAGCAGATTAAATCACGTCGAAGCGACTCAAAGCGCTTCCCAGACTGTGTCCATTTTCACTGTCAAGTTCACACTGTTTCCACTTCACTGTAATTGAGTGGAAATGGACATAAACTGCAGCTGATTCTCACACAGAGAAGTCAAACCGTGAATAGATTAGTGTGTGTGTACATACGTTTGTGTGTGTGTATATATATATATGTGTTTGTGTGCATATATGTGTTTGTTTTGTGTGTGTATATATGTTTGTGTGTGTATATATGCGTGTGTGTATGTATGTTTGTTTGTATATGTGTGTGTATGTATGTATATGTATGTTTGTGTGTGTGTTTGTGTGTGTGTCTATCTGTGCGCGCGTGTGTGTGTATATATGTGTGTATATATGTGTGTGTGTGTATATGTTTGTGTGTGTGTGCATATGTTTGTGTATATATATGTTTGTGTGTGTATGAGTGTGGGTGTATATGAGTGTGTGTGTGTATGTGTATATATGTATCATGTGTGTGTGTATGAGTGCGTGTTTGTATGTAAATATGTGTGTGTGTATGTTTCTATGTGCGTGTGCGTGTATATATGTGCGTGTCTGTGTATGTGTCTGCTTTTTTCCTTCACTGATTGGGCTTATGCACATCTGCACAGATACTGCACAAAACAGCAGCAAATATACTGCACAATACAATACAAAACTCCAGTGCAAAATGACACTTGTGTAGCTCCTTTCACGTCAGGAGAACGTCCCAAGGCGCTGGACAGTGAGGGACTTGGACCCGAGCGCGTGGTGGGGGCTGTTGGGATCAGGCAGGGCGGAGGGTAGGAGGTAGGAGGGTACTGTATACTGTATTTCTCTTACGATTAGCCAACCAGCCAGTGTTAAATGCAACACATTCAACCTGTTAAAGGCAGCTAAGGTAAGATCGATTCAGGAGTGCAGACACCGACTGTCATGCAGGGAGTGAGACACACACACACACACACACACGTGCAGACTTGACGTGGACAAAAATTATTCCGAGAGAGGGAGAGAGAGAGAGAGAAAAATAATGTCTTGTGTTTGCTGATAAATAGGCATTTCTGGCTCTCTCCTGATCCATTGCCTGTGAGAATATTCCCTCTAGGAAGTTTCACGCAATCACCTGTTGTTTTCTGACACCTTGATAACAGAATGAAATTTACACTGAGAGAGGGAGTCTGTGTGTGTGTGTACGTGTGCGAGAGTGTGAGAGAGGCTGTGTGTGTGTGTGTATGTGTGAGAGAGAGTCTGTGAGTGTGTGTGAGAGTGTATATGTGCGCGTGTTAGAGAGCGTGTGTACATGTGCATGCGCGCCTGTGTGAGCGCGAGAGAGAGGAGTAAATCATGCGTGAAGCGTGAAGCCTTTAATTGAAAATAATATATAATAAAGAGGTTGTTACCGTTTTGGGGGACGTAAATTGCTTGTAAAGTTATCAGCCTGCGATCTGCTGTTGTTTTGTTGTGTCTACAGTCCTTGGGAAACAGTTTATGGGCTGAACTGAAACAAAATATTTACACGATATAATTTTTCGGGTGAAAAAAATAGCATTTGGGGCCTTTTTTTAAAAAAAAAACAAAAAGAGAGGACGGTTTTGGAAATTCCTTGTTTTTTATTTTGGTTTAAATCCTCTTGAGAGTGTAACAATGTAATACCCCTTCCCCCCCGCCTCCCCCCAAGGGAAAAATATTCTAATTAAAACCCTCTTGATAACTTTCGGACTCATCCTCTGTCTACACCCCCCACCCCCCCCAACCCCCAAAACAAAGCTGCTTCTTATTAGAGAAGAAAAACAAGTTGTTTTATTTTGCTCTCTCTTCTCTCTTCTCTTTCTCTCTCTCTAAACTCCCCATAATTGTATTCTTTTGGATTTAATTAAGAAGTGTTCCCGTTAAGACCTGTGCAGCCCTGCCCTGCCCTGCTCTTTCCTGCCAAGCGATCAATGCCTGTGCCATCTGCACCCAACATGTGCACATAATGATGCAACTTTAGATGCAAAAAAAAATCTGCCCCACAGACACGGTTTTGACTGGCATATGTTCCAATTTGCTTGGTTGGTCAATTTAAAGGCACATTCCTTCTCCCTTCTCTCTCTCTCCTTCCCTCCCTCCCTCCCCCCCCTCTCTCCCTTCCTCCACGCTGAATTTCAAAGCAACCCACAACATCGCCAGCCTTATTATTCAATCCACGACTGTTTGTGGGGACTCTGCTGTGCGCAATTGGCTGCCCGCTTTTCGCCCACAAAGTGTACGGTCGCTTCACTGAACGGTATGTTCTGCGAAGCGCTTTGAGACGTCCTGAGGACGTGATAAGGCGCTGCATCACATGCAAGGATTATCATCATTATTTGTTATAGATTGTGTGTGAACGTCTTCAGGTCGCGCCCGCAGACGTTCCTATTCGACCGAGCCTACGTTCACGCCCCTCCTAACGCCCGGCTCAGCTCCGTGCTCCGCCACTGTCAAGCGCTCTGGGACGCTACCCTGCTTGAGGTGCGCTGTGTAAATGCAAGTTGTTGTTGTGTGTGTTGGAAATAGAAAAACATCCAAATGGATCTGATGTCTAAAAAAAAATCTTCAGCAAATAGAGAGAGAACAGCAGTCAATTTGTTTGGGAAGATTCCACCCCCCCCCCTCCCACCCCATAAAAATAATGATAATAATAATGAATAATAATAATAAGCCGTAATGATTTTTTTAAACATTGAAACGAATAAATCGTTCACTAGTGATTTGATTGTTACGTTTTGCCCATCAGGGAACACAAAGTGAGACATGCCCTTTAAAGAAGGAGGGTTCATTTGATCGTTGGCCAAGCTGTCTTGCATTTATTTTCGCACAGAAACTGGCTGAACGTTTGCTTTTTAAAAAAAAATTAATTAAAAAAATCTCTTTGTGAATACGAAGGGATTGGCCCACAAAAAGCACAGTCAAATCAATTTTACAGTACATTCTGTGAAGCGCTTTGAGACGTCTCGAAGGCGTGATAAGGAGCTATACCAAATGCAAGGATTATTATTAATGCAAGCCATGGATGGTTAGGATTATATGCCGAGTGAGTGAAGACCGCAGATTATTTCTTATTCTTTCAAAATAAAATCCGCCTCCTTTTAATCCTCCAATGTGAATTTCATCAGAACATCCAACTGCTTGTAATCACTTGGCTTCATGAACAACTGCTTTGGTTGTAAGCACCCACCTCCCCAAACACTGAATAAGACCATTTCGGCAAACTGTCTGTACAGATCCTTTATCCCCCCCCCCCCCCCACCCTCCCCCTCAAAAAAAAATACACCCTGCAGTGATTTCAAGGCTGTAATCTAATTTTACAACTTCAGAGGCTGATTATAAAATTGCCCAGACTTTGCTCTTGGAAATATACAGTACAATGCCTTTGTACCCTACAATTAGATTACTCCCTTCTAATCATTGCCAGGTACCCAGCCAGTAGTATTATTCTGTGTGTAATACACGCTCCAGTATAAACAGCATCCATCCAGGAATGCGCTGGTTATACCACAGCTGGTATCGTGATGTCAGACATAATTGCCTGGTTCTGAACTTGGAATAGATTCCGGCGGTTAGCTTAGGGAGGTAGGAGCACGAGTGGATTCCATTTGTAATATGGCCCTCATCCCATTGAGCTCGCTCCCAGCGCCTTGGGACGTCCTCCTGACGTGAAATGCGCAATACAAAATGTATTTTGTTGATATTGTTGTCCCACCGGTTTAGCAGATGGCAGATATTATAATCCCA